TGTGCTGGTTACCGCGCACCAGAAGTTATTGAAACACGGAAAGGGACACAAAAATCCGATGTTTATAGCTTTGGAGTGCTGCTCCTTGAGATGCTAACAGGCAAATCCCCTCTCCCATTATCAGGGCAGGATGAGGTAGTTGATTTGCCTAGGTGGGTCCGGTCTGTTGTTAGAGAGGAATGGACTGCTGAAGTTTTCGATGTAGAGCTGTTGAAGTACCAGAATATTGAAGAAGAGATGGTGCAGATGCTTCAGATTGGACTAGCTTGTGTAGCAAAGGTGCCTGATATGAGACCTGCTATGGGAGAAGTGGTTAGAATGATTGAAGAAATTCGACAACCAGAAGGTGAAACGAGACCTTCCTCGGAGGACAGCAGGTCCAAGGACTCTAATGCACAAACACCTGAATGAAAAATGCAGCTTTTAGTCATTCAGCTTTCAATTCTTGATCATTTTAAGAATGCAATTTATCTCCATTGCCAACTTTTGCATGTTCTTGGACATACAAGTAGTGTTATTTTTATTTTATTTTTTTATCTTGATGTTATATCCTATTCTGGCCTCTATAGAAACTTATCAGCTCAACATAAATGAGAACTTTGTTTTCTCTATTTTTAAATCTTTGTTTACTTTCGTTATACTATCAGGACAAATTTATTAGCATAGTTTTCAAATATATCCCTCAATTTAACGAATTCCCCCTATTTATAAAATGCTCCTTTTCCTTTTTAGTCGATTGTGACACATAAATTGTATTTTGGCTCGTGACATATCATAATTCCATTTTGAAGCTGACTCACAATTCACAAACAACATATTATATACAATAAGTGAAGCCTATTCAGCAAAGCAAATGTTCAATTTGACCAGTTGTCTCATTTTTATTTCCCTCAAAGGACCTACTTCTTTTCAAATCATTTGCTTCTTTTTTACGTTTTTATACGTATGGACTATGGTAAAGTTTATTTGTTCGCTCTGTATTTTACCAAAATGCAATTTTGTGTCAAAATCAACTAAAACGTTTTAAGACAGGGATAAAATACAAGTACCTCCTAGACTATGACCGAAATCTCAGAGACACATTTTAACTAAACTAAGGTCCTATTATCCCCCTGAACTTTTTTTTTTTTTTTTTTTGTTAATTTTGTACACCTTTTGTCTTACGTGGCACACTCCGTGACTCCGCGCAATTGAGGCGCATGGGAGATATTTGGATGCCACATAAGCCAAAAAGGTGCACAAAATTACAATAAAAATGGGTTCAGGGGGTAATAGTACCTTAGTTTAGTTAAGGTGTGTCTTTGGAATTTCGGTCATAATCTAGGGGGGCACTTGTACATTTTCCCTTTAAGATATTAAAAACATGGGTCAATTTTTTTGGGAAAATTATGCAAAATAACAAACATCTAGAGTATATTATGTAATATATTTTGATTATTTTTAATTTGTGGTTACAATTTTGCGAAATTTTGCTATTCGGTATCCTAATTGTATAAATCCAGAATTTGTATATGCTTGCCCTAACTATTTGTAAACGATTTATGAAAAATTCATAAAAGTTACTCTATTTGTATATTGGCAAGCGCATATACAAACGGAGTTTTGAAAATTTTCTAAATATATAAATACAGAATTTGTATATACTTACCATGTTTGTCTATTCGCAAACAAAATATACAAACGGGTAAGCGAAATATACAAAGCAATAACATCCATAGCAATCAAAACTATAACTATAGAGCGCAATTACCAAAACTATAGTTATATAGCCTTATTATTAGAAATTTTCTCTATTTTTTTACCAAGAAAAGAGAAAATGTTAAGATTAGTGTGTTAAAAGAAAACATATCCACTTTGCGGGAAAAAAATAGTTGACGCCTAATAAACTTGGGAAAATTACGCGGTTAAGCAAACTTATACTACTTAATTACTCATCATAGTTATAGTTTGCTATAATTACCACTCACGACTAACATTATACATTAATTACGCGGGTTGACTTCGAGTTTGTATAATTAGCCACATTTGTATATGTATAATTCGCCAGAATATACAAATACATATGTATAATATACAATTATCTAACTTATATACATATACAATTCACCTCTCTCCCAATCTCGCTCGCCTCTCTCCTCCCTCTCCCAATCTCGCTTGCCATATATACAAATGCATATGTATAATATACAATTATCTAACCTATATACATATACAATTCACCTCTCTCCTACTCTCTGCCCTCTCTCGCTCGCCTCTCTCCTCCCTCTCCCAATCTCGCTCGCCTCTCTCCTCCCTCTCCCAATCTCGCTCGCATCTCTCCTCCCTCTCCCAATCTCGCTTGCCATATATACAAATAAATATGTATAATATACAATTATCTAACCTATATACATATACAATTCACCTTTCTCCCACTCTTTGCCCCCTCTCTCTCGCCTCTCGCCTCTCTCCTCTCTCTCCCAGTCTTGCTCGTCTCTCTCCTCCCTATAACATGTAGCTACGAATTGTAATTATCAAACTATAGCTATGGAGAGTAATTGAGCTATTTTTGTGTGGCTATATGTGAAAGTTCCCCATTAAACTTTTCGAAAAATAAGAAAAAAATTCCATTTCTTTTCTTTATTTATTAAAAACTCAACAATTATAAAGAAAAAAAAGAAATAATTAGGAAAATAAAAAGATGTAAAAGTCGTTAAAATAGAAAATATTCTCTCCGTCCCATATTAGTTGATTGTTTTCCTTTTTACAAGCATATTAAAATATATCATAAATAAAAAGATAATTTTATTAATTTACCTTTTTAAAACTACTCCACCTGTCCCTAATTACTTGTCCACTTTTCCTTTTTTAGTTGTCCTAATTACTTGTCCATTTTGACAAATCAAGAAAGAACAAAACATTTTTACCTATTATACCCTCAATTAAAATCTTTGAAAAGGTAGAACTTTTTGAAAATCTTAAATTTTTAATTCATCCACTTCATAATTAATAGGGGTAAAATGGTAAACTTACTATGCTAATAATTGCTTTCTTAAGACCATCTCCAAACCACCTCTATTTTACTCTCCATTCTCCATATTTAGAGAGTAAAATAGAGAATAGACACTCCAACCCACCTTCATATCACTCTCTATTCTTCATATTTAGAGAGGTGGAGAACTACTATTCATACTCTCTATTTCACTTTTTCAATATTTTATTATTATATCTATTACTTTCTAATTAACATATTATTTTACATATAATATCATTGATTAAATATTTAATATTCATAATTATTTTTAAATGTAATATAATATTTAAAAAAATATATTATTTAATATATACTACTTTCATCCCGAATTAATAGTATTTTATTTTTTTCTAATTTTCGTCAATAATATAATTTGATTTTATTATTAATTTTCTGTATAAAGAATAAACAAAATTAAATGATAAGACGAAAAATTTAATTTAAAAATACAATACATAATATGATAATTTAAATACAAGATAACAATCAATACATAACATAATCATTTAAATACAAGATAAAATATAACACAAAACATAATAATTAATTTGTGATGAAACAAGAATCATGCCAAAAAGATGTTGAACGTGCATTCAGAGTTTTGCAATCACGTTTTGCAATTATTGCAGGACCGTCACGTTTTTGGAGAAAGAAAGTGGTACATGATATAATGACTACATGTATTATATTGCACAACATGATAATTGAGGATGAACGTGATCTTAATGCACCAATTCAAGATGCCGTAGAGGCTCCGACGACATAAATTGTGGTAGATGAAAATCTCTAATTTGAACAATTTTTAGCTAGACATAAAATAAATTAAGGACAAAAATGCTCATTTTCAACTCCGTAATGCATTACTAGAATATTTATGGGAGCAACGTAATAATTTCAAAAATTGAGTGTTTATGTAATTGTATTTCACTTTTATTTGCATTTGTCCATTAATTTGTATATTATATAATATTTTCTTGCAATTTATGTTATTTAAAAATTTAGAATAAAATATAATTTTATATTAAATAAAAAATTTGAAAAAATAAAATTTTATATCACATGAAAATTGTATAAAGTAATTATTGGGAAAAAAATGATTTATATTATGAAATAAGAAAATAAGAATGAAATAGAAATAATAATATAATATTGAAGAGAGAGAAAAATATTCTTTTCTAGAGAGTTTTAAGAGAATTGAATTGGAGTTTATTGTCTAAAAAAATAGAGAACTTTATATTTGGAGGGACAGAGGGATAATTTTACAAGCAAATGTGAACCCTTTAAAAAAGAATTAATAGGAAAGGTAATATAGGAAACTTTTAATTACTATTTTCTTAACTTAGTAATGTGGACAACGGACAATTAATTTTAGGAAGATGATCAACTAATATGATATGGGGGAAGTAATGTTGACCTTTTGGTATACAGTGTGTCAATTTGGGGAAGAGTTAGTTATGTAAAAGCACCAAGTCAGGAAAGCCGTTGTTCATTATTCATTTGGATAACAGTGCAATTTTTTTCATTTTTCCCTTTTCTCTTTGTGATCACCATTTTCGCCGCATTCTGTTAAATTAGCAAGGTCTGATTCCATTTCTTTGTCAATACAACTGAATTAATATTCGATATGGTCTTATTACAATGATAGATTATTTTGGGTTAAAATTTCAATAATCTTGTTCTGTTTCTGGGCATGAGTCATTTAATTACTTATAATCGCATTGCGAATGAACATATCGCTCTTGATAGAAATGAAAATGAAGCAAATGGTGGTTTTGTGAATGAAATTTGCCCTATTATTTTTAAACATCCCTGAAAACGGTTTCCCCCATTTTGTATCATAAAAAGAATTAGGCAATCTTGAAATTATTTTGATTGATTACAAAGACCGATTGCATTTTGAATTTATTAGTAAAATCTATGAATGAGTTTTATGCAACACATGACTTTTGATTTCCTACTTGTAGGGAACTGTTGTAGTTCTTCCACTTGCCCACCCCCTCATGGGGCAGTGCTGGACTAAGGTAATCTATCAAAATAACTCTAGAGTTCTATGCTTGTGTTTCTGTCTTGACTTCTAAATCTAATTTTACATATTCAACAACACTCTTTTGAGAAACTTATGCTACACAATATTATCCATCCATCGAACAAGTACACATGCAGCTCTTTGCTCGACAACTCTTCACTTGCATTTACACCTACTTGATACATATAATGTAGGACAACACAAGACTTTTGTGGAATTGTATCTTTGGATTTGCAATTTGTCGGAAGAGGTAGGGGGCAAGTACTAGTATTATTTAGTAGTCGCTTAATTTCCAATGTGTATTTCAATCTGTTGTTGTATTTGCTTTTTTATCTTGCTATGTTGCCTTCATATTTATTCTTCCAATCCTGCTTTGGAATACACTGCTTCCGGTCTATTGTAAACAACCTCTCTACCCCACAAAGGTAGGGGTAAGGTCGGTGTACATCGTACCCTCCCCATATATCCATCTTTCTTGTTCCTTTTGGTGTTTCATCCCCTTTTTCTTCCTTTCTGCCTTGGCATTGGGGGAGGAGGTCTAACCCTTTCCCATTCTCCCCTGGTTGTATTCATGAGAGCGGTAAGTAGGAAAACTGTCTTTCTGTTGATGACTCAGAATCGGTTACTTAGAATTGTGATTCTTGCAGGTATGTAGTCAAGAAAACAATGATATCCCTCCCACTTTTGATCTTGCTGGTGGAAACATTTGCCTTGTGACATCAATGGACAAGTGGGAACAAAAGATGTCTGAAGCCAATGACAGTGGCAAGATCGTAAGTTTCTTATCAAATTAATGTTGGTACCAAAATTTCAGTTTCATGATCCAACATCTGCATATTTTCTTGACTCAAGTATAAGTTAAACACAAAAACCTGCAACCTTTTTTTCCTTTTTATTAGTTAGTAGTGCATTTTTGTTGTGAATATCTTTCTCTCATCAAATAACACCTTACCTTACTTCTTTTGTCTTCCAACAGGCGGTGGTAAATTTCAGTGCGTCATGGTGTAACCCATGTAGAGCAGCAGCACCAGGATATCATGAACTTGCTGATAAATACACTTCAATGATATTTCTAACCGTGGACGTGGATGAGTTAGCTGTAAGTTTTGTACTATTGTCTTTTATTTGTATCAACTCAGTTTATAGCAGCCATAGTTACGATACCTATCCCGATAAAGTTTTGCACTTGTTCTGCTAACATGCTAGAAGAAACCATCTCCTCTAAACTCATACACATTGGTAAATGTTAAAACTACTTGATGCAGGAGTTGAGTACTTCGTGGGACATAAAAGCTACTCCAACATTCATCTTCTTTAGAGATGGCCGTCAAGTGGACAAACTAGTAGGCGTCAAAAAGCAAGAGCTCCAACAGAAGTTGATGAATCTCGCAGAGTCTACAAGGTCCCCAGGATGATAATACTGTTGCTTCGCTGCAGTGTCCGAAAATGCTATTCTAAAACTCTGGTTTTGTCACGTTAATTTTGCCATTTACTGCTGGTGTAACAATATTCTTACGTGTTTCTATGTATATTAAGCCAAGTAAGGAAGTAAAATTTGCAGCTTGGAAAAGAATTTCATATGGTGCTACACCTTCTGTGTTAGATGTTAATCCAAACACGAGGAAGTAAATGGAGATGAACAGTTACTGTATTAAGTACTTATTATCAATGTATAGTTTATTCTCCACTCTCTAGTACTTGAAGAAATCTGAAATATGTAATAGAATCTCAATAGCAATGTACTATAAAATTTCGACAGTATGATCCCCCTACAAAAACATGCTCAAATACAGCTTCTTCTACAGTGGTACAAAATGTTGTATCAGGAGAAGACAAAGGATTTGATGTCTCAACAAAGATTGACCCAAGCCAGTAGTTATGAAGTGGCCAATCGAATTCGGATTCTCAATGGCCAATGACTAAGATACAGGATGATGAAATAATATGGGACTGACTTCAACAAAGCATGTTCAATGGACTTAGACCAAACTATATGAGATAATGTTTTCTGATATAACTCATTTGTGTAGAAGTCCCAGTATAGACACTTCTTACTCAATACTTCCTCGTGTAGCGGAAAGGTAGATGACAAACATAGAGTTGTAAGCCCTTGGTAGGGTTCTTGTACAAACAAGTATTTCCAACATAGTTATATATATACATCATAGAACATTCCCTATAGCCTATAAGTGACTCAAGAAGTAAATAGCAGGGAATTAGAAAAAGCTCCTATGCCTCGGAAACCATGGTAGGGTTAAGAGTGAGAGATCACACGTGATGGTTAATTATTCTGCTGGCCGCACATAACTGAAACCCTTGAAGGGGTTATCACCAGATTTTGGACTAGCAGCAGGTGAATCTAGCAAAGGCATGCTGGTCCATTGCTCTTCAAAATTGGCAATACACAGCTTCCCTGAAACTTGTGGACAGAAACTTGGTTGAATTTCTCGAGCATCTAACTTCTTCCAATAGATAGACTTGAACCATTTGTGACTTTTTATCTCATCACTACCTATTGATCCACAGCCAAGGCGCTTGCTTGCATCCTTGTGTAGCAGCTGAAGAAATACAAACACATAAGATTGATAAGAATCCTCTAGTTTCCAATTTCCAAGTTCTTAATATCGGTGACTATATGAGAAATGGAATTTAGCCTGGTAGATGGTATTTACACATTAATTGATACATAACACTATCTACTAAGCAGTAGGGCCTTCCAAATTATCTTAGCTTTGTATCCCCAAGTAGCATATACAGAAGTGAGTCATAGCGCAGCTCAGACGAGGTTTGGTTTTTACTGGTAATATGAAATATGATCCTACTTCTTAGTAGAATTAATTACTCCATATATGGCATAAAAGTAGCATATAATAACATAAATAAGTGATATGTGATCTAAAGCATTTAAATGGACATGAAGTGCCTGCTATATTAAGATTTATCAGTTAGTCGGTAACCACTATCATATCATAGAAAGAAATGTAGCTTACCCCTTTCAACAATGAATGTGCATCACTAGACAAAAATGCTGGCAGCTTAATCTTGTCCTTTATGATCTTTTGTTGAACTTTCTGTCGGTTCCCAACAAATGGAGGCTGAAAAAATCCACATGAGGAAAAGATTAGGGTAATGAAATACAGTTTATGTAAAGTAAGCATATGAAGGATGTCATGTTAAGTGAGAAATATAAATTCTCAAGGAACTCATAGAAGAAGAAGTTATGGCAGACGATTGCATGTGTACAATAGCATAGACAACAAAGTTACATGATATGTGTTGACCAAGTGTAAAGAGAGCCAATGATTTCCCTAACTTTTAACATACTGATAACTAAAGCTTTATATTTTTTTACTACTGCTGCAGCCGACTGAAGGAATTCAAAGTTCAATGCAACTTATTAAATAAAATAACAAACCTTTCCTGTCAGCATCTCATACAATAGAACTCCCACGCTCCACCAGTCTGCAGCCTTATCATGACCTTTTCCAAGAACAATTTCAGGTGCCATATATTCGATAGTTCCACACAAAGAGTTGGATCTCGTGCTCTCATCAAATTGCTTAGCAAGGCCAAAATCAGTCAGCACTACCTGCAGCAACCATAATACAAATTCAAAAGGTCAATGGAGGACCACCGCAAATGATTCCAAATCCTTGTGAAACCAAACAACAAAGTTCCTTTCAGTTATCCACTAATAGAACTAAAAACTAGTCCATGGTCTTTCCATGAGAATCAAAAGATATTAACTAAAAGCAATCGGAAAGAAGGGTTGTGGAGAAGGGATATCTTACATGCCCATCAGCATCCAAAAGAATATTTTCTGGTTTGAGATCCCTGTGCATTACGCCATTAGAATGTAGGTGAGAAACAGCAGAAACAACCTCAGCAGTGTAGATGCGGGCCAAATCCTCCCTGAAAAGAAGTAAGTTAGCTAGTTGCTTGAACCACAATAGTCCTAGATTTTTCAGAAGGGTTATTTTTGTTGAAGTGTGTGACTATCTCATCTAAAAGCTTGAGCATTTAGAGAGAGCACTCTTTCATTATTTAATTATATTCTCAACAATTTTATCATGCTACCTGAATAAGCCCTGCCTATGGAGTTGAAAGAAAAGGTGTCCCCCATTAACAAAGTCAAGCACAAGGTATAGTCTGTATTTGGTCTGCATTAAGAGGAAATAGATAAAAAGAAATCAATAACACTTAGAAGTGTCATATAATGTAAACTAATCGGATACATATTAAGGAAACAAATGGTGTAGTTCACAGCTGAGAACCAAGTTTGAGGTAATTCCTTGTAGTGGGCCGGAGTTGCATAAAATGTATGCAAGTCCAAACAGCTTTTGTAAAGAGAGCAATTTATATAAAATCGTAGCAAAGCATCACCTGGAAAGAGTATCTGAGCTGCACAACAAATGGATGATCTATTTTTGTCAATACATCCCTCTCTGTTTTCATATACTCAGTGTGATCTTTCTCCAAAATCCTATCTTTCCGCATAACCTTCATCGCAAGAATTTCAGAAGTCCCGATCTTCCTCACCTGATATACTTTTCCAAATGCACCTTGTCCAACAACCTTTAAGACTTCGAAATCATTAAGTCCCACAGACCTTGGGGTATTAGCATCAGCATGAACATCACTTTTATCAGTAACAGCAGAATCGGAAGTAGCTTCTTCAAGATGATCATTGGTCTCTCCACTACCCTCCACAAGCTCTAACAAGTGTTCACTCTCACGGAGCGTGAGTTTGCTAAGCTTCAACGATTGACTGACATAGTTTGTCGGACCAACAAAGGAATGAGAACGGCTATAAATTACAGCTGGTTCTTCATATACAAATCCATTTGTTTCTGACATTGCAACATTCTCAGAGCTCAAAACTTGAGCTGGAGCAGGACCAAATATGTCTGAGAAATCCATATCAACATCATCAAGTGATACGACTTTGGGGTGTTGCAATGGGAGCAGCACGTGTTTGTGTAAAGGCTTCCCAGTTGGTTGTGAAATTTTAGCAGAAACCATTTTACCAAAAGTTACACAAGGAGGGAGGGAATATAGTAGATCAACCCCAACTTCTGCACGGCTATGGGAGAACTGCCCTTGAAGGTCGCCTCACGATAGCCTTGAAAAGAAGGAAATTCTCAAATGTAACAAGTGTTCCGAAAAATTGGTGGAAGAGGCTGACCAAAATCCAGAAAAGTGAGCTGTTCTCGTTTCCCGCTTTACAGGAAAGAGTGGCTGCAGCAGTGCTTCTCGAATTCATGAAGAACGTGCAAACCATGCGGTGTTTATTAAACCAAATACCCCTGGAAGGTTTAGAAAAGAACTGTCAGTGGATCTAGCGAGCGAGAACAACATTGATTAGTAACCTAACATTAAAAAAATGCTCACAGGATGTTAAGCAAACAAAGATGAAACCAGATGAGAAGGGAATCAAAGGGAAGTAGAGACAATCAGTCGCAGGCGTCTGGACAAAATAGCAGAACTTAGTTAAATGCAAATTTCATTTCTTTAAAAAGCAAATAGTGTAAAATCTGTATGAAGTGTAGAAAACACATTAATCATCTCTTATAACCTTATGTAAAGGCAGCTAAATCCTTCAACCGCAGATAAATTCCAACACCCATTGTCAAAACTATCTTAATAGTGAATTAAACCTACCTATGCTGATCGCCTCAATATCATCAACCAAAAAAATTTAAATGATACTCCCTTCATGGGACAATTTTTGTGGTACAATTGAAATTGAGATTCAACCAACAAAATTTCTTGATATGTCTTTTAGATATTTTAAGTTGTTAACTACTGATTTGATTAATTTTTTTTTGAAACTCCAGAATAACCCGCAGCCGCTACAACCTCTGCCCTTCGGGTGAGCACTCTATGGTGAGCACTTTGTGTGCATTGGATAAACCCCTCATTATGTAATAGCCTACAAATCACACAGGGGATGTAAACCGCACTAGGAAAGCCCTATGCGACAAGCTCAACTCAAAAGGCATTGAGGGGGATCGATCCCGGGTCATCCGTGTGGATAACCACCCTTCAAACTAACTGAGTCATCCCGAACGACACTGTGATTTGATTTATACTACTTTTTACATAATTTCAAATATATAAATTTTATTTCAAAAAAGTTAAAGCTTCTATGTCCGAATTCACCGTTTAGAAGTTTAAATGTCGAAATTCCAACTATGCCACATAATTGGGACAAAAGCGTACCAATTGATTAGCTAATCTGATCTCAGTACATACTTTACAACACAACAAAAACCCTTAAACCTATAAAAATCTCACCCTACAACTCCTGAATCACGACTTCAAAATGTATATAAGTTCAAATTTAACTTAAGATAACAACATATAAATATCATAATAGATGATCAATTCCACAAAATAAAAAACAATCAACTTTAACAAGTCAATCAGTATAAACACAAGAAGATCAAATACAGAAAAACACTCCTGCATAATCTATAAAACAGTTAAAAAAAAGAAGAAGCTCCAACTCCATGAAAGAGAAAAAGAGATGTAAATTTACCTGAATGAAATAGCAGAAAGTAGAGAAAC